ACATATGATGGGCGGCTCAGTGTTTCCCTCGGTTTGGGCCAGAGACGACCAGATATAATACCGTTTAAATTGACACAATAAAGCAGTGATTGGTTTCTGCTGCATTGTTGGTGCTGGTGTTCACCTGGTTCAGATGAAAAATAGCGATTCAGTCTCCTTTTTCTGTTGAACATTAATGCTAACGTGAAATTGCTGGAAAAGGGAAGGGCGTTTCTACCAACAAAAATATCGAGATTAAATTGATAATTTGCTTAACGACTGATTGAGGGACATTGATGCGAATGCTGCAGTCGCCTCCAAAATTCATTGTCGTTCCGGCACAATAAATGCTTTACAGAAAAACAAGGTTTATTATTATTATGATTAAGCAGCAAGGGATATGCTTAGTAGTGAAATTCAAGATTATCTTGTTGCATTATACAATTACAAGATAACTTATCTTTGAGATTAGTTGGCTGACTCAAAGCAACTAAACGTTAGCCAAGACATAGAGGCGAATGACAGGTTCTTGAAGGCCACATGAGTAGGTGGGACATCCACCTCCACCCAGCTGTGATCCGGACTCTGAACCCAGGTATATCGCCAGATGCAGAATGTTTCTGCTCCAGGCGGCAAAAATGTAATGCATGAAATTCTAGTGACTTTACATAATATTTTTGAATGTCAGCAGATTTCTGAATCACACCACAGGATAATAAGACAAACATTTTTCTCCATTGTTTCAATAAAGCATAAAGCAAGCGACAGAAGGCCTGTGATTTCCAAAGAACCAATGTGGGGCACATAGAGCAGTTGCGATATCAATCAGATGGTTGTCAGTCACCAAAGAGAGAGGCGTGGTCGGTGAGCCTACAGCAAATCGCAGAGCTGAGTAAGGAGAATCCTTGAGAGAAGCTGAAATGAAAGAGACTTTACTGTGTTTCAAAGAAAACCTGTGAAGAAGTTTGAGACATGTAAGAAATTGGGTCAATTAGAAACATTTTTACGTATTAATGTTACTTTTTATTATTACTCTTATTATTTCGTCCGACAGTTTGAGATAATCAGACAGTTTGAGACAAACAGACAGTTTAAGATGACCAGACAGTTTGAGATGACCAGACAGTTTCAGCTGACCAAACAGTGTGGGATGACCAAACAATGTGCGATGACCAGACAGTGTGAGATGACCAGATAGTGTGAGATGACCAGACAGTGTGAGATGACCAGAAAGTGTGAGATGACCAGACAGTGTGAGATGACCAGTGAGTGTGAGATGACCAGTGAGTGTGAGATGACCAGAGAGTGTGAGATGACCAGACAGTGTGAGATGACCAGACAGTGTGAGATGACCAGATAGTACGAGATGACCAGGTGCTGCTGTTGCTGCTGTTCCTGCTGTGGCAGGTGTGATGGGGAACACTGTATGAAGGCTCAGGCTGTGGCTGTGCGGTGTGAGGGCAGGAATCTGATCAATGACTGACTGTACACCATCACAGCTGCTTCCTGACAATTGTGCTCTGAGTTTCCGCCCCACCTGAAGGCCGCCTGACACCTCCTGTGAGAACCGTCTTTCCTGAGTGCGCTCAGCAGAAAGACTTTACACATAAAATGCAATGACTTGAACAGCATTTTGCTGATAAACTGTGCTTGAACATTGATTGTTCTACAGCATCAGCAAACAAAGGTTTCCTTTAAATTCGCAGTCTTGAATTGCAAGGGACACAAAAAAGCCCAAACCTATATAACAATATAACGAGACTGAGAACTTGCCTGCATTTGTATTAGATGCTAATTTTATTTATATTATATGTAAGAATACGGCAGAAAATTCAGATAGTTTGACACCGGCTTAACCCTCCAGGGAATGAAAATCCACAGCACAAGCTTAGTGAAAGAGGCAAACCTATTATTCTCAGGATAATGAGCCAGTATATCCCTGTTACATTACACTCTGTGATACAAGTGTATTACATGTATGTACTATATATTATTAACACAGGTCATTTTTCAGATACACTGACACTTTGATTTTCACAATGAGACTGTCGGTAAATACACATTCTTTGGAATGAACAGCCTTGGGAGTCCACATACACAGTCAATTTTGGACGATGGGAAAAGGAAATAAATGATAGTCTGTAAGTCAGGACATGAAGTTACATGGAGGCAAAGCGGAGAAATGCAGTCAGAGAGAATTACCACAAAAGCCAGTGCAGGTCCAGCGGCCTTGGCGATTCCACAGATACAATAGGAAACATTATCAACTGCTGAGCGGAAAACACTATCAGTAAAAAGAAACGCATCAATGCAAAAAAAAAAGAAATAATTAAATGACCTTTTTCAAATGCTCCAGATTGTTATCCTTTTCAAATGATTATTATATCTGGCCGATTCCAAACTATGTCAAATGTTTCGCTTTCTTCTCCGACCACCACCGAGGCACTGAGACCACCAGGATTGTACTCACAGTCAGCAAATACAAATGCCATTAAAATAAGTGTCTTGTATAACAATCATAAATAAAAATGATAAAAAATAACGCAATTGCCTGCCGTTTTTCGCCCACAATATTTACTGTCACTAGTACACTTTTACAGTATATTCTGTGTTGCTTTTTGAGACGCTTCGAAGATGCAATGTTATATGAAATACAACGATTATTATATAACTTTAAATTATATTATACTTCACGTTCCTTCAATGCTGAAAGATTTTGTCAATCAGTCGCTCATGGAATCCTTTTCTGCCACATTGTTTGTGAGCCGTTACAGTGATATATATATATATATATATATATCTATATATCTATATATATCTTTCAAGTGAGAATGTGTGTTGTGCTTTGATACGTTTGCTGTAAGATAGAAGTTCTTGTCTTTCTAGTCAGTGCCTCCAAATTCAGTGCATTATTATTTTCCTTTGAAGGGATTATTATCCCAGGAAAAGGAATACGCCAATTCACTATCAAACGACTACCTAATGCTCGGTAAACAAGGTCAAGAGCGTGGAATAAAGAAACTTGCCCCACATTTAGCTCTCCTCGGGAATCCAATCTGGGTCCTCTCGCTTGTGAGGCAAGTGCTTCAACCACTGAGCTTCAGGAATCCACAATCTATGCGCTTTGATCTGATCTAAAGATGGGACTTCAGTGCTGGTCAGAGATTACCTGTGTGACTGTGTAATGGGACAGAGAGAATTACAAACCAAAATAGTGCAATTACCTGGATGCAAGGTACGTCCCTATACTCGCAGACAAGGTGGTGGGTTCATGTTGGGATCTGAGATCACAGCGACGGCTGGTTCTCTGTGCAATCAAACCGAGTCCTCTCTCCAGAGTCAGGTGGACTTTAAATAATCTGTAACACCGCTTGTAAAAGGAAAACGATTTTTTTCAATTTGCTGGCTAATAATCCATAAGGCAGACAGGGAGCAACACAAACAGTGTCTGATCAGAATCCCTATTACAATCTGCTCACAGTTACTGTCAGCTGCCAGGAATCAGGAGTTAATAATCCTTGCAATTGAAGTAATACCCTCTCACGACTTTGCGGCTTCTCAAAGTGCTCCACGGATAATACTATGACTTGAATTCACAGCGCCTTTTCTTGTAGAAACGCGGCAACAAATTGCACTTTGCAAAGTTCAGCAAACAATTGTAATTTCACCGACTAAATCATTGGTAATTTTTAAAGAGATTAACAACCCAAGAATAGTGATCTGCTAATAGAATTACAACCGGTTTCCTTCTTACCTTGGTAAACAGGTTGGTGGAATAAAATATGTGAGTTGGAGAAGTGCACCACTGATATCACTTCTAATTGAAACGTCACAACACATTTTTTCTTGTCAGTTTACTCCTCCAGTTTCTTTTCCCCCCGTCCCGAAGGAGTGTGACTGTCCCTGCATTTCTCTAGGCTCCGATTCCACCAGCAGCTCTCGCCATTCGGCTTCTCACTCAAGTGATGGATTCATGACTGGCTTGAGCGCATGAGTCAAGGCATGACATCATTCACAGTTCATTACATTATTTCATCACCAATCTATCTTTTGATTTCAGTAAATATGGGAAACAAATATAATAAGGAGTACTATTAGAAGTGTGCTTGAAACAGAATTTTTACAAGTTGTCCGTGAGACCAAAGATAAATATTGTTAGAAGAAACCAAACAAGACCTCTTCCAAATAAGCTTGTTAAGGAGGTTTCTTCTAAAGTATTTCGCCCACAAATGAACGGTCAATTCACTTTACAACATATTCCCTGAAGCGCTTAGAGACGTCTAGAAGAGGTGCAAAGCGCTACATCTAATGCAAGGATTATCACTATTATTTCTATCGGAGAAAAGAGAGAAATAGTAGGAGTAAGAAAAAATACATTGGGATTTTTTTAAGATCAAAACCGATCTTCAAACTCAAGTCAAAATAACCGACTTTATCATTGATCCCTTAACAAAATCAACTATAACATATTTACCATCACAATCGGAAAAATATGAATGTACCTAACATCCACAAACATTTGAAGGCGAGATTTGTAGATCACCACGACTTTTGTTGCTTTGCTTTTCACTCCTAAATGACCTTGCTGATATTAATTTCATACTAATTTACCCGATATTATTTCGTAAAAGTGATACTTAATTTACTTTTAAAATAATGAATAATTTCTTCTTAAGCCATCATCTAAGAGAGCGTGTTCCAAATACTTATTACTAACTCTCTGAAATAGTGTTTCCGCAGATATGGTTTGAATTGACCCCTAAACACACACTCTGACAAACACATGGAATGAAGCACTTGACGATGATTCAGAGTCAGCGCTATGTTGAATACGATCGAGACTTATATTAACATTGATTTACTGTAAATGCAGAATATACAGTTAATATTATTGATTATTGATCTGTGCAGGTCAGAAGGAATGTGACACGTCACTCCCCTCAGTCCTGGAGCTATTGGTCGATTCTCAAACCCCTGCCCCAGTGGCCCGTGTTAAATAGTGGTCACTGGGGACTGAGGCCATCTGTCCGGCTGCTCTCTGGCCCTCGGTTATTCGGCACAAGTTTCAGTTCTGACAAGTTCCGAGAAACATGAGGTCCCTGATTTCTCTCAGTCTGCTGCTGGCGGTCTTCTCCTGTAAGTGCTATTATTCTGATATTGTCTCTGTTCCTCTGTCGGTGTTATTCTCTCTGCAGTGTCAGAGAGACAGGAGATTTCACCATCATTCACCTTCGGTCCTTTATTCCTTACAGGTGTCCAGGCCGCTGTGGTGATGACACAGCCGCCGACTCTCACCGGGAAAACCGGCCAGTCCCTGAGACTGACCTGCAGAAGCAGCGGATTTTACAGCTCCTATTACTACTGTATGTTCTGGTACCGGCAGCTTCCCGGGAAGCAGCGGGAAAAGCTCCTCACTTCTGACACCTACTCCAGCAACAGTTTCGAGTCCGGTTTTGGAAACCGCGTCACTGTCGTCAGAGAGAATTCCAATCGCATCTTCGATCTGATCATCAAAAGCCCGAGAGTGGAGGACACCGCGACCTACTACTGTGCAGCGGACTCACAGTGCGAGGGAACTGGGCTGAACTCCTACAAATACTCAAGGGGAGGAAAGCAGCCCCTCCCAATCTAAACTGACTGACGGACATCCATGCGGTCAATGCTGTATCTGTAGCCAAGTTTAAACGAAAAGCTGAAGATGGATTTATTCTCAGACTGACCCCACACAGTGAATCGTGGTTGGATTGGGGTGAACGAACTACGTATTTGTGCTACAATATTCTGTGATTTCAGATGGTCAGTGACACTGTGCTGTTGAGGCGGGAAGGATTGCGATTGGAGACTGACTATGTTACGGTTCACAAACATCATTTTGTTACAAGGTGTTGGAAATAATTGCTTTCTGTTTCTGTGGATATCAAAATACTACTCTGTATCCTCTGTGTCATGTCAGAGGAGAATAGTCCCTTCAAGTGAATTTTGGCTGTCAGTGTGGAGCAGACATTGAGGGATCAGTATTTGTATGGGACTGTATCACTGTGTATACAGTGGGTCACAATGCTGCACACAGTTACCTCCTCATACAAAAACCCCAGAGAGAAAAAATGATAATCCCTGTCATCACTACAACATCCACAGCTCCCATATTAGTGTTACTGAACGTGGGTCATTCTCGGAAATAACCTGGTGTTTAACAAATTAATTAAGGTTAATTTATATTACAGGACGATATTAAACAAGAATGAGTTCTGCTGAGCTGCTTTAACAAGAATCCAAATTCTCTGATGAACATACGAATTTATTTTGACTTAAACATCACACGGGGCCTCACGAGAGAATATGAACTGAGATCCAGTTCTTATCTCAAATTCCAAGTCAATGTGTGTTAGTCCGTCTTGTGCAGGAGTTTTTGTCATGTTGTGTATCACTGTGTATATACATGGACCACAGCATTAACTGCCAATACAAAAACCCTTCAACAACAAACCAGCTAATCTCTGTCACTACTCGCTTGTGTGGCACCCACTGAAATTGCGGGGATTTGGTATTTCTAACATGTTGCTGAACCCCGAGGATTTCACGAGATTTTAAACGACATAGAACATCGGACTTAATCTTCCACCTGTTGGTGAGAAGAAACGTGGTTTGGCAGAAACACAGCAAACTGACAAAGACACAAACATTTAAAAGGTAAACACAGCGCCGGGCAATTGTTTTCAGAACATGACAGACACATATCGTGATCTGTGTGTGGTTTGGAGAAGCCAACATTTACAGTAATATTGTGTTTGTGTGCTCTGCCCACACAGCAGTTGTTGCAGTGAACAGCCCACTGACTGTAGCACAGTGCCTGCGGCAGCCCTGACTACTGGGGACAAGGCACAGCGGTGACGGTGACTGACGGTAAGAACAGACACTAACTCATTCACTTCAGTGAACGGTCTCTTTATATATTCGTTTTGTTCACTTTAACAGCTTGTAAATGTAATGAACTCCGTGTTGCCGGCTATCTCACACTTTAGTCCACCTTGAAAGTTTTTATCTGTTATTGCTTTCAACAGCAACTGTCCCATCATGGATTACTCTCTCAATATTTAGGTAATTGTTGGTGATATTTCTGGTGGTTTGTGAAGATCCAGCAGAGGTCAATCTGATGGACTTTCTTATTGCGGTGACTGGCGGCTGCTGGGTTTCGGTGTTTAATTGTGCAACTGTGTTTAAAACTGTGCCCATTCTTTGGGAATTAGGGCCTGAAATGTGGTGGGATGAGTGATGGGAATGTTATCTGATCGCTTCCAACAGCAGTTGAGAATAGCTGTGTGGCGTCCTATAGCTCAGTGGTTAGAGTATTCGCCTTCCAAGCGAGAGACCTGGGTTCTATTCAAGGAAGGACGAAATCTTGGGAAAGTTTCCTTACAATTCCTGACAATAATCCCTCCAAAAACCAAAACAGTAATATAATAAGTTAGTCATTTTCAATCACGACTGTTGGTGGGACACTGCTGTGCGCAATTTGCTGCCGCGGTTCACCCTCAAATATAATCAATTAGCTTTACAGTCTATTCAGTGAATCCCTTTGAGAAGTCGAGGAGATGTGAAAAGCACAATATCAAGTGCAAGGATTACTATTTTTTTATGCAGTTAAATCCGTTTTCGTACATATGGAAAATGTTTGCGATTTAGAACGATAGGGGATGACTCTGAGAGTAAAGTGGGTTTATATTACAGGAATGAGATTGGCGGTACAGCAGTGCAATCGACTCCGATATTACAGAAATAATAGTGAAGGTCATTATTTTAGTATCAGCATTAATGTGTTGCTCACAATCTCATTCCTCAGCTACACCACATACCCCAGTCACGACTTTATTCAGCGACACATTGAGCTCTGACTTAGTTTCGTTTGATTTTATCAGCGATTGAGTGAACATGAACTCGTTTTCAAACAGTGTTCAGAGACACGAGGGGTCGTTGTTGATCTGTAGTCATCAACTTCCTGTTTTACGCTAACTGTTCCGCAGAAGAACACAGATATGTTCAATAAACACATGGTAAAGTTTGCACAGCAGGCTGCAATGTAACAGATCCAGCTGCAGTGCAAGAGTCTGCTGCTCAAACTTTACCATTTGTTCATTGAGATGTGAACGCACAGCGACACTGATCAGTGATACCAAACTAATGAATTCAGAGAAGATCATCTCAAACTCCAGAGTCGGCAGGGATGAGGGTGAAAGTGGTCGTTTCTCATTTGACTGTAAATATATGATTTAGTTATTCTATGTAAGTGTTTGTGCTGCAGGGATTTGTGACTGAGTTAAATCGCATCATATGTAATGCTATGTGTGTGATGTGGAAGGATAGTGTGTGAGCTGCTGTGCAGTAAGTGAAACCTTCAGGCTCTCAGAGAGAAAGAGAATATAGAGTAACGTGTGGGTTACTGAACGGAAACACTTTGTGTTTGTGATGTGAGATGGGGCTACGATTGTGTGTGAGACCAGATTAAATGGCATTGAGCAGTGAAATAGCAAATGGATGAACTGAGATGTCTGGCTGTTTATAGACAGGCTGGGAGCTGGGATCATGTTAATCCGCTGACCCAGGGTAGGAAAGAGCAATGTGATGGTTAACCAATATCTTCCCAGAGGCTGAGAAATTCGCTGCCCCTCAGGCTGTGAGGAGAACATGTGCTGAAGTGTAAATTCGCGCAGAATTGTGAATAATTGTCAAATTCAGTTTGATTTCTGAAAGAGGAAACGGTCTCTAAATTTTAAGTAAATTGAAGATTATTACACAATTCCGCAAAATATTAAATTAGAGATATAATGATCTTTCATTGTTTATTAATAGTTGTTTATTGGGATCTCAGATGTGAACAAAATTTATTGATAAACGACGAGAATATGGTCGTGGGTGCAGGAAAGAGGAAACAGATGCACATTTACCAGCAACAGTTGTTGTTCAAACTTAATACCACCTGCCTCTGTATATCTGCCTGTGTGGCATTACTACAGCTTAACAACAGGATATTTAACTGCAAACATAAATTTTATACAATTCACGGTAATGCAGATTCTGAGGCAAAGCAGAATGTTATCCATTCTGAGAGTCCTGCAGCTCAGCCGTTAGAGCTTTGCAGTGTATTCTGCGCAGCGCTTTGCGAATTCTCGATGATGTAATCAGGCGCTGAATTGAAAGGCAAATAATATGATTATTTTATTCCGAAACATGAACGTAAACGTGTTTTGCTGCTGCAATGCAATGCAGCGCCATTGACTGCAAATCCCAAGACAGTGACTTCTGTTTTTAATTAACCTTTTCGATGCAGCTGTGTGACAAAATTACTCGTAAATGTGGTTATTTCTGCGTCTGTATTTCGCGCTGTGCAGCAGCTGTTGCAGGTCCCGCAAATCACATTCACCAATCAGACAGGATTCCCTGTGAGAGACTGTGTTGGGCACAGCACTGATAAGAGTCCTTCATTCCTCATGTGAACACTGAATCTGCCCACTATATGATCTCTGTAGTTGTGTAGACAAAAGATATAATAGGGACCAAAATTCTTCAACAGTCAAACAAATATTTTCCGCCCTGAAATTACTCGGTCTATTCAACTCACAGTTTAGTCGGTAAAACGCTTTAAGATGTCTCGAAAACGTGATAAGACACTATATCAAATGCACGAATTACTATTATTAATAATTAATTTACCAATTTAATACCACAGGTGGCAAATTGGCTGCGGCGAATCTGTAACCAATCTGAACAGAGTAACTTGTTTTAGTATATGTCAGAACCAGAAAGAATCATTTTTTAAAATTTTCGGACTATTGTATAAAAATGTAAGATGGTCCACAGATCTGAATATCCTTGGATAGATATTTCTTTGGTGAATCCAGTGGACGATTTGGAAATTGAAGCAACATTTGAATTTCAGCTATTTTTAAAAAAAATGCCACACGACTTTATCTCTTAAAACAGAATTAATCGGAAGAAGACCAGTGAACATTTTAGCCTGAAATGATTTCAAATTAACATTATAACCATAGTCTGTCGTTCCGTGTTTCAAATTTAAACTGGTCAGGAGGTGACTTTGAGTGGCTTCACAGTCGATGCACAGTCACTGACACCAGGTTCACATACAGATAGCTCTGCATTTATATATCTATTTGTATCCATTTATCTATTTATCTATTTATCTATTTATCTATGTATTTATTTATTCCAGCGCATAGCCAGTCAGGCAGGCAGATAAACACACACACACACAGAGGGAAAGGAAGTCGATGCTCTGCTGTGTAAATTAGCAATTTCTCTCTCATACAAAAGTCACACATGAGCCAACATTATTGGGATATTAAATTTAAACTGGCAATTTTTTTAACGTTGGAGCCAATTTAGGAGCTGCTATCCAAAGCGCACCCATCACCGCGCGCTACAAGTGCACAGTGCAGCTCTGGCCATACAAACGGACACAAAGATTACAAATATATGAATGATACATTTCTCCTTAAACGTTATGTGTGAAAACCTTGGTCTCAGCACAAACTCCAGCTGGGATGCTTTGCTGGCACAGGTATGCACACAGACATGAACACACCAATAAAATAATAATCATTGCATAAGCTACAGTGCCTCACACGGCGGAGATAGGCCTCAAAGCGCATCACAGGATTTAAGGTAAAGTGCATTGACTGTATTTTGTGGCCAAAACGCCAACAGTGCGTTTCGCAAAGCAAATCCCCACAAACAGGCGTATAGTGTTTGGCCGATTTTATTTNGGGGGATTGTTGACGAGGAAAACAGAGAAGGAGATGGAAAGACATAGTTAGAGAGAAAGAGAGAGAAAGTGGAAGGGGGGGGGGGGGGAGAGAGTGAGAGAGAGAGAGAGAGAGAGAGAGAGAGAGAGAGAGAGAGAGAAATTGCCATCTGTTTTCGAATACGTCATGGGATCTTCATGCATACACACACACACACACACAAACAAACACACACACACAAAGACACACACACACACAAACAGCCATACAGACAGTACCTTAATGGCCTGATACTGTTGCCTTCGTTTCCCGAGAGCTACGTTTCTCGGAGATAAAGTGCAGATATGAACGGAATAGGAATCATTTCACGCGGTTCAGTTCGAAAGGAGAATACCTAACGATTCTCTGTGACAAACAGGGAAAGGGGAATAGAAGACTTGCCAACTCCAACCTCAGCTTAGAGTTCAGTGCAAAGTATCAGATAAAACGATTGAGTAGATTGCAATGTTTATTTTTCTAAAGATAAATTTGAACTGGGAAGGTTGAAAGAGATAAGTGATTGAGTGGGAAGTATCCACATCATGTTTGAGATAAATGTCTGTTTTCATATTAATACCAATTACACCTAACGCAATATATTTTCAACGTAACATAACTTATTATTCAATGTATTTCAGGGAATGTACAACCGAAACCATTGCCCCCAGTTGTGTTCCTCACACAGCCTTCCCCTGAAGACATCAAAATACACAACCAGGCCACTGCTGTCTGCTCAATAAACAGCTTCCGACCGGACAAACTCAGTGTTAAATGGCTAAAAGATTGGGAACCCATCAACTCTGGTGTTGTGACCTCTCCCTCGGCTAAAGAGGACAACGGGACATTCAGCAGCAGCAGCCGCCTGACGGTCCCCGCCAGAGAGTGGAGCACTGGCGCGGTTTACACCTGCCAGGTGTCCCATGAACCCACCCAGACCATCATTGTCAAGAACATCACCACCCCAACAGGTAGGAGGAACAGCAGCAGCTGGTACACATGGCAGCAACGTGCCTCTCAGTGTCCTTTGACATTTACACCGGTGGCCTGTAGATCAGTGGTTAGAGCCCTCGCCTTGCAAGCGACAGACGTGGGTTCGTTTCCCAGACAGAGCAAGATGTTGGGCACTTTTTGTTACATCACTTGCCTCTGCTTATCCAGCAGTAAGTCGGGAACGGGTTGTCAATGAGTTGGTGTATCTCCTGGGCGCCACTGGCTGCCTCGTTTCACACAGAGAAAAATTAATTGACACGACAGCATTGTCTGTAAAGCACTTGGAGACGTCCCGAGGAAGTGATGAGGCACTATATGGAACGCAACGATAATTATAATCATTAATGTTAAGGGTAGAACAATCAGCATCGTAGAAATGGGCATCTCAATTTTCTTCACCAGGATATTTCAACACTGCCATCACAGAAAACCTTCTACGGTCTGATGGTACCACACTCATTTCCCGATTGCTGATTTAGTGGAATATATCAAAAGCAGTGATTGAGTAGGTTACATAATTTCTATCTTTCTGAAGGAAAAAAAGATATGATTATCTTGACTAGGAAGATAGAAAGGTCAATGAGTGAGAAGTGTCCATATCGTGGCTGAGCTCAATGTTTTTTTTCAATATTGGTATAAGCTTCACATAGCAATATGTATGTCCATGGAGCAAAACATGACCTATCGTTTAATCTATTCCAGATAATGTACCTAAGCCATCGCCGCCAGTTGTTATCCTCACACAAACTTCCCCTGAAGACATCACCAGGCACAACCAGGCCACTGCTGTCTGCTTAGCATTTGGTTTTCATCCGGACATACTCCGGGTTAAATGGCTAAGAGACTGGCTGCCCATCACCTCAGGTGTTGTGAGTTCTCCCTCGGTTAAAGGAGACAACGTGACATTCAGCACCAGCAGCCGCCTGACTGTCCCCGCCAGAGAGTGGAGGAGTGGCGCGGTTTATACCTGCCAGGTTTCCCATGAACCCACCCACACCATCATTGTCAAGAACATCACCTCAGGTGGGAAACACGGCAATAGTTGGTACACATGGCAAGAACGTCACTCTCAGTTTCCGTTCAAATGTCCACTGGTGAGAGCTCTATTAATGCATTGCTTTCAGCCCCATTTGGATATTTCACTGGGAACGGCATGAGGAAACCGGGCCCCAATTCTCACGCTGTATTCAGTGGGTAGCAACAAAGGCCATGTTTCTGATCTGCTGCTCATGAGGAGCTCAGGCATCACTCACAGGTCCACGGGATTGTGGCTGTTTTGCTCATATTCCACCCGCTTCCTCAACATCTACTCCCACTGAACTTTCTGATCACAATTTGTATCAACCAGGGCAGATATACATATAAACACAGAGTCACAGCTCATCCATCATATGTGTTACATCATGAGCGGTTGTCCGTCGGAGGGAATTGGAAATCAATAGGCCAAATATCACGCAATGCTTCAGGCAGGATTGCTCAACTTTCCAGTAAATTATTCCATCAACGATTGATAGTTGAAATAGGAAACAACAATCTGTGGTCAGATGAGCCAGAAAGTGAGAATCTTCATTGGGCGGTCATTGATTAACTTGACCCAATATGAAATTCTGGAAATGGGCTGTTCTTTGTCTTTCTAAGTTTCTTTTACTTTTCTAGAATGCGAGGATCCCTCTGGAGGTGTCAAGATCTATTTCCTGCCACCTGCACAGCGACAGGTTTTGATGGATTCCTCTGTAACGCTAACATGTGTCGTGGTTAATGCACCACTTCACGTCAACGTGACTTGGACACAAGGAAATACACATTTGCAGTCTGGATATGGGAAAACTTCTGCCACTGAGCCTCAGAAAGTGATCAGTAAATTAAACATTTCTGTATTAGACTGGAACAGTGGTAAAGAATACTTCTGTGTCGCCAGCCATGATGATATACCATCTCCCATCAGAGAAAAGACGTTTAAGAAGACAGGTGAGGAGTGCAAAATAATTTACGTGTTTATTATAATTCCAGAATATAGTAACACCACTGTGTGCAAATAATAAATTGCTGCCGAGAGATTTCAATCAACATCCGTGTTCCCATTCGCACGTGCAATTACAAACAGCTGAACGCAGTCTTAACAGAAAAACACATCAATCTCAGCTTATTCTGCAGGCTCTTATGCTTCAAACTTTTCTCTGATTGACCACTTTCAGTGTATTGATTCGATTGTATTCTTCCAACAGTGGAGCACGTGAAACGACCTTCAGTGTATCTCCTCCTCCCGTCGGCAGAAGAATTGTCTGCTCAGCAGTCTGTCACCCTCACCTGCCTGGTGAAGGACTTCGCTCCCAAAGAGATCTTTGTGCAGTGGACTGAGAATGACCAGTTGATTGATGGCAGTAAATACAAGAACACTGATGTGATGGCAGAAAGTGCAGATCGCAACTACTCCATGTACAGCATGTTGTCCATCTCAGCCGGAGACTGGGGCAGAGGAAACTCCTACTCCTGTGTGGTCGGACATGAAACTTTCCCAATGAAGACTCTGACCAGATCCGTTAATAAATCCAGCGGTAAACCGAGTTTTGTAAATATTTCCCTTGTCCTGATGGACACCGTGAATGCCTGTCAATGAGTGACCCTCAATACCATGTTGCCTATTCTCTTATGCAACCGCCTCCCTCCCATTGCATTGGCTGTTTGTTTTCATGAACAAGTAACTCAAATAAAGATTATAGTTGCATTGATGTGACAGGTACAGAGAGGATGATTTGCAATTAATTAACTTCACTGTCACATTCCATAGAAAGGAGAGATACACTCATTTTTGGGGGGATGTTAGCATCAAGTTAATAGGACAGTCAGGTTGGTTTGTACACTCTTAATCATCGTGATGGGTTTGCAGGTGTCAGACACCCGGGTGACCAAAAAAAAGTTACCCGTCCGAAATTATTCTACTTTACTTGCTACAGCTCAACTCAGACTGTACTTTATTTGCAGTTTGATTCAGAATAGCACAGTGAAGCTACACCTGTTCCTTTTCAACATATTTTCTTTCCCACCGAATAGCATCGCATTCCACGTGTAATAACATCGCGGACGTAAACTCCGGCTTTTTATTGCTACATTTCCATTAAAAGTATATACTTCTCACACTGAAACTGATCCGAATACAGGAAAATGTTCATTTAAACATAAGCTTAGCCATACACGTACATTGTAACAAAATGCATTCATTCAAATTCACATCCACACATACTCACACACACCATCATATCCATCCAGGCCCACACACTCTCACGTGTCCATCCATGTTCACAAACACACACACATACACACACAGACACAGACACACAAACTCACATCCTCCCAGGGGCCACACACACATACACTCACACATCCCCGCAGGTCCACACATGCAGACACTTGCAGACGCAAACTCACGTCCACCCAGTCCCGCACACACTCACACCCACTCACACATCCACCATGGCTCACACAAACTCACTTATATCCACATCCAAACAATCCCCTACACATTTCCGCACACACACTTACTGGGCCGACACATTCACACTGATTTCCATTAAGGCCCACAGATACTCACACACACCCACTTCCATCCAGGCCCCCGTAAGCTCACACTCACCCAGGCCCACGCACACTTAAACACACTCACATACCCATATTTACAATTAATTGCACAGACAACTTGACACATTTACATCCACCAAGGCAAACACTCACACACGCTTACATCAACCCATGTCGCCACACAAATACATACATGCAGGAACACGCACATATACACATATATACACATCCACGAATGACCACACACACAGACTCACACTCACCCAAGACAATACAAAATCAATAGCGCTATGGATGAACCTTTTTAAATTTAACCCTCATTTACTTTAGTTAATTTCAGAGACGTTTGTGCCGGTTCCTACAATAATATTAACGATTGCGAAATCGACATGGCTATCCATGATAAAAGAGATGATGGTCTAATAGGGTTGTTAGACACAGTCAGGAATAACTTTGGCAATTGTATAAGATTACAGACCCCTTAGCTGAGTTGGCCGAAAAGTGGAATTGCAGTTCAATATTCAGTAACTGCTTCTGTTATAAGTGACGAGTGGAAAACCTGGAGTAATAGTCGATGGGAGCGCATATCAAATGGAGTAAAAATGGACCCTGTGTTTTTTGTTGGGCAATCGACTGTTAATTAAATATAAATTTACCAGGATTATGGGTGGTGTACAGTGTGCGGTTCTGGGCATTTTATTAAACAAAGGAAATAAGAGCTCCTGAGAGGGTTTTGGGAAGTTTCACAAAGGTCAATAGAGATGGTACCTGTGACTGACGTTAATGTGTTGAGGAATAGCTTCACATAGCGCGGCAGCTCTCGAAAGGAATGTGCAGGTAAATCAGAAAGGGAAGATCAGCAAATACAAGTTTTCAAATGTATTTAAGTTTTGAAAGGCTGATACAGTGAAAAGCGATAGTATCCATAAAAATGGGTATAAGAGGTCCAGTAAAATCACTGTAAAATATAATGGCAAAGTCGATTTTTATATCGAGAATTGTTTAGAATAGAGAAATCTTCACCTCAGCATTATAATGTAAAGGAATTTCAAATAATATTTGAACAGAGACGATGTGAACTTGCAATAGGGCAGAAAGAAAGGTGGAATTGAAGGATTGGAGTAGATCTGTCCTTTTACTACCAGAAGAGTCTCAATGGGAGAACTTCCTTCTTTCTGCATTTCCACAAATTGAGCTTTCCCAAAGTGTTCCTCAAATTCTTCCGCGGAATCTATATTGAGTGGAGTATACGATAAAATAATGTTTTTATTCATTTGCCTTTGAATTAAAAGTTTGGAAGAAATGGCATGAAGTTCAGTGTTGTTTAATAGACGGAGAGGGCCCTTAATTAACTCGGAATCTCTAAATACGTTAATAATATAACAGGAAAAATAAGAAATGTCTGAGGTGTCAATGCGCTCTGAAGATTTTTCCCTTTTTATATCCTCACAGATTTGCCAAACGAGATGATGCTGGAAGGATTTCAAGAAGTTCAGTGTGATAATCTCTGGCCTACTGCTTCCACCTTCATCATCCTCTTCTTCCTGAACATATTCTACAGCGCTACCGTAACTCTTTTTAAGGTGAGGAGAGCAAATGCATTGAGGCCACGATGTCGTGCAACAGCTGCTGTTAAATATTCGGTGCATGAAAAGCCTAATAGTGAAGCTCATTGCAACCACTCTGTTGTCAAACTCAAACTCTACCTACAGGCCAAGATTCTTGTGACTGGGCTGTGTATAGGGTGTTCCTAATATCCCATCTCCCTTGCACACCCTATCACACCTGGCATATGCTCACCTGCTATAGACACAGGCAAGGTGCAAGGATTACTGTCTGTGTCAGCCCCAGCAGACAAATACAAATTCACACAGAATCAGTTGGACTCTTGTGTATCCTTGTGTGTGTGCATAATAATGATAAAAATAATACTCCTTGCATTTGATATAGCGCTTTTCACGTCGGGAGGACGTCACAAAGCGCTTCACAGTACATACTGTGATGTGAATTGAGTGTATATTTGTGGGCCAACGCGGCAGCCAATTGTGCACAGCAATGTCCGACAAACAGTCATGGATTCAAAATGACCAATTTTTTTTGTTTTTTTGAGGGATTATTATGAGGCGTATGTTTGTATGTTTGTGTGTGTTTACCTGTTTGAATTGATATACACTTATAAACACAACCTTAAATATCATGACATCTTTATTTTTATTTTCCAGGTAAAATGAATTAATTAAGATCAGCTTCAACGATGTGTCCCGTCCGTTTGTGCTTAACAACAGCGTCGTGTGAAAGATTACGCGCTGCCATTTTTCACTCATTGTACAAATCACTTAAATTAAACATTGTATTGTGCAACTACTTGAACTTTAGTGGCTTTTGTTATTGTTAGTTTATTTTAGAAATGTGCCTTTAGGTAACAATAACTGAAGTTGTTACTGTCACGCCTCTCTGATATTCTCTCTATGCTGTTTCCCATTTTATTGGTGTAAAGAAACAGAAAGTTAGTGGCTGAGATAATTTGTCCTCTTATTTTAATCTGAATTTTTGATTCTGCTCCGGTTTCATATTATCTCCAGATTCTGTCTGTTGTTTGCCAGAAGCATCAATAAAAATATTACAAATTCAATGATCTGTTTGATTCCTCTTTCCTGTTCCTTTTGTGTCAATTGTGCCTTGCTGTTGATTTCCAAATGATTCAGATTCCCAGTAACTCAGCATTAAACAAAAGCTGTTAAATTTAATGTCAAACTTCAGTTGCAGCTTTGCTGAGAACACTAAAGGCGATGATAGTTCCGCTTGAGATGGTCCTTCGCTCCAGTGAACAGCAGCTTTTTCCGTCGCACATTCATCAGCACCTCACCAAGATACAGCTTCAGACACATGACTGTTCCAATATAGTAACATGCAGCTCTGTGTTAGAGTATTTATAGCACAAAGTGAGAGCGCAATCTGTTTTATACATTGACTGAGCTTTATCTCCTGCCTGTGCTGAGCTGGACAATCTGAACAGTGCAGCACCTCAATTGGAGACCATTAAGCCCAAATTCCTGCTGCGACTTTGGCACATACACCTCTTCACAGTTATACTGTGAAAATCATTGGGACGTCCTGCTGGTGTGAGAGACACGAAACCAAACACAATGATACTTATCATTGTTATTGATAACGACATAAACCTCACAGGCTGCAATGCAATAGTAATCTCGGCCTAATAGGCCTAAACATTCCCACTGAAGACCCTGACCAGAAAAGTTAATAAATCCAGCGGGAAACCGAGTGTTGTAAACTTTTCCCTTATCCTGACGGACACCGTCAATGCCTGTCAATGAGTGTCTCTCAATACCATGTTTCTTTATCTCTTAGGCATGCGCCTCCCTACCATTGCATTGCCTGTTTTGTTTCATAAAAAAGTAACTCAAACAAAGATTAGAGTTGTACTGATGAGTCAGCTACAGCGGGCATGATTTACAACTAATTACACAGACAACTTCTATAATAAGGAGAGATACATCCTTTCTTTGAGGCGATGTGAACATCAATTAATAAACTATCAGATTGTTATGTGAGTATTAAGCAGTTTGATGGGTTGACACGTGTCAGAAACTGGGTTGATCAAAAAAAGGCGCTAATGCTCCCAAACTAATCTACATTAATTGCTACCACCCAATCTAGTACTGGATTTTATTTGCAGTTTCATTTAGAATTGCACAAGTCAGCTGCACCTGTTCCTTTCCATGATACTTTCATTTCCACCGAATAGCATCGCAATCCGCATGCAACAGCATCTCTGCTGTAAGCAGCGTCCTTTTATACTACATTTCCTTTAAAGTAAATACTTCTTACACAGAACTGTTCCGGGATGGAAATGTTCACTTAAACACACGCTTAGCCGTACTTTTACATTGTATGTAAACGCATTCATTCACACTCACATCCACACACCCTCACACACACAATCATGTCGACCAACGTCCACAATCGTTCACATGTCCACCAGGTTCCCAAACACACAGACAACACAAACACAGACTCACAAACTCCACATCAGGCTCACACACTCAAACATCCACCTAGGATCACACAAACTCGCACATACTCGCACCAACATCCACACTCGCACACACACGTACAGGCGCCAACACATACGCACCCTTACATCAATTAAGGCAGCGAAACTCACACAAATAGGCTTCCATACAGTTCCATACACACTCACACGCAACCAGGCCCACTCACACTTACTTACAATCACACAACCAGGATCCCACACCTACACATTCACATCCACCAAGGCTCCCACACAATTATACATACTGAATTCCATCCAGGCTCACACACACTGTCACATAAGAAATTCCATGCAGGCCCACACACTGTCACCGAAATCCATACACACTCAAACACACTCAAATCCACCCAGGTTCAAAACTCATGTACACTCACACTCAACAAGGACCTTACACATTCGCACACACCCACAAAAACCCAGATTCTCTCGCATCCATCAATGCCCACATACACTCACAAACCACTCACTTCAACACAGGGCTACACACACACACTCACGCTCACCCAGGCCAACACACAGTCAATATCGCTCTGGATGAATCCTGTTACATTTAATCCTGAATTGCTTTAGTTGATTTACACAGACGTTTTTGCCGGATCCTCCACTGCTTTACTATAATATGAACGGTTTTGAAATCGACATGTTGCTATTTATAGATTATTGATGATAGCATAATAGGGGTGTGGGTCACAGTCAGGAGCAACATGGGCAATTGCTTAAAATTACAGACCTTTTAGCTGAGTTGGCTGAAAAGTGGAATTGCAGTTCTATATTGAAACAGAAGGAAAAGCTTCTGTTTCAGGGCAGTGTGGAAAATTTGGAGTATTATCGGTCGATAGACCATATATCAAAAGGTCACTTAAATATGAAATATGAATGTCAATTAAATATGAAATTAGCAGGATTCTGGGTGGAGTACAGAGTGCGGTTCTGGGCATTTTATTAAATAAAGGATGTACGAGCAGCTGAGAGGATTTTGAGCAGATTCACAAAGATCAATAAAGATGACGCCTGTGATTGACGTTACAGTGATGAGGTTCCGCTTCAAACATTGTGGCTGCTCTCGAAAAAGAGACGGTAAAAGAGAAAGGGAAGAGAAGCAAATACAAGCTTTCAAATTTATTAAAGTTTTGTAAGAATGATGCACTGAAAGGCGACACATGTATATAAAACATCCAAGAAAATCACCGTGAAATATAAAAGCTCAGTCGAATTTTATATCGAGAACATAACAATTTGGAGCAGGTTTAGGCCACTCGGCCCCTCGAGCCTGCCCCGCCATTTGATAAGATTATGGTTGATCTTCAGACCTATCTGTAATAAATTGCCCTATCTCCATATCCCCTAATCCCTCTATTGTTAAAAATCTATCAGTTTCAGCCATGAACTTTTTAGAAAAGAAGGTTCTTCATCAATATCTAAATGTAAAGGAATTCTAAATGGTATTTGAACAGTGACGATGTGAACTTGCAATAGAACAGACAGGAAGGTGGAATTGGAGGACTGGAGTAGATCTGTCCTTTTACGACCAGCACAGTCTCAATGGGAGCATTTCCTTCATTATGTATTTCCTGAAATTTTTGGCAAGTGTTCCACAGATTCTTCTCTAAATTCTATAATTGAGAGGAACAAATAATAAAACAATTGTTTTCTTTATTTCTCTTCATATTAAAAGTTTGGAAGAATCTGCATATGTTTCTGTGCAGCTTAACAAAGGGATTGACTATCAAACTGAAAATACATTAATAATCCAACAGGAAAAATAAGAATTGACTCAGGTTTCATTTCGCTCTGAAGATATTTGCCCTTATTTGTCCTCACAGCTTTCCCAATCGAGATAATTCTGCAAAGTTTTCAAGCAGTTAAATGTGACAACATCTGGCCTACTGCTTCCAAATTCATCATCTTCTTCTTCCTGAATATTTTCTACAGCGCCACCGTCACTCTAGTTAAGGTGAGGAGAGTAAATGCATTGACGCCATGATGCGGTGTAACAGCTGCTTTTAAATACTTGGTCCATGGGAATCCTGATAGTGATGCTCATTGCAACCACTCTGCTGCGAATCTCAACCTGCACCTACAGGCCACGATCCTTGTGACTGGGCTGTGTGTAGGGTGATCAAAATATTCTATCACCCCTACACAGCCTATCACACCTGGCATATGCTCACCTGCTATGGACACAGGCAAGGGGCAATGGTTATTTAAAGATTTAGTGTATCTGTGAGTTATTGTGGACAATATAAAGCATGTCGAAGGCTTTCTGCCTTTTTCAGTCCCAGCAGACAAACTCAGATTCACACAGAATCAGTTGGACTCATGTGTATGTTTGTATCTGTGTTTGTATGTTTGTGCGCGTATCTGTGCGGATACATAGAGACAAAAATAAGCACAATGAGTTTCTTAAGATCAGCTTCACCAGTGTGTCGCATCCGTTTATGTGTAACAACTGTGCCTCGTGACAGATTATGTGATGTCTATTTTCACCCATTGTACAAATCCGCTGAAAGTATACTATTTTTTAGGCAACTACCTGAAGTTTAGAAGCCTTTCTTATTGCTACTTTGTGTTACATTGTGACTTTGGTAATAATGAATAATAATGGTACATTCACGCCTCTCTGATGTTCTTTATTTGTGATTACCATTTGTGTGGTGTAATGAAACAGAAAGACAGTGCCTGTGGTACTCTGTACCTTGATTTTAATCTGAAGCTATTTTTTGTATCTGCTCCTCATTCATACTATCTCCAGATTCTCTATATTTTTTGCCTGAAGCATCAATAAAAAATGTTAAAATTAATTGCGCTGTTTGATTCCTCTCTTTCCTGTTCCTTTTGTGTTAATTGTGCCTTGCCGCTGCTTTCGAAATTATTCAGATTCCCAGTAACTCAGCATTAAACAAGAGCTGTTAAGTGAAACGTGTAACTTCAGGTACAGTTTTGCTGAGAACAAAAATGGCAACGACAGTTCCGCTTGAGTTGGTTCTTCGCTCCGGTGACCAGCAGCTTTTTCCGTCCCACGTTCATCAGCCCCTCACCCAGAAACAGCTTCAGATACACGGCTATTTAAATATAGAAACATGCAGCTCTGCGTTAGAATATTTATAGCACCATGTTTTATACACTGACAGAGCTTTATCTCCTGCCTGTGCTGAGCTGAACAATCTGAGCCGGGCAGCACCTCAATGGGAGATCATACAGCCCAAATTCCTGCTGTGGGTAATTGATCTGCTACGTTGGCCCAGACACCTCTTCAAAGGTCCTGGTGACGTGAGAGGGACTAAACCAAACACAGTGATTATTATCATTGTTATTGATAACAACATAAATCTCATAGTGTGCAATGCGATAGAATTTTGGGCCTAATGGGCCTAAATTTGACCTGAATCCGTTTAGCCCCTGTAGCATGAATATATATATTATATATATATGAAATATCACCTTCTAATGATTACTGTCATGGTTTATGATTGTGTCTGGTCTCAGCTTTTGAAATTTGTACAGTGGTCAT